CTTAGACAAAGAATAGATACTGCTTTCAATCACTCTTACAAAGTGATTGTATAATCTCTTTTGAAGACTGATTCTACGATCATTTATAGGAAATCTATCCTTACAAGTTACTGGAAGAGCAAACACTGTGGAACTTCCACCACATAAAGGCTTCTCTCCAAGTCGGAAGACTCTGGGGTTTTTCCCTCACTTTTCCTGAAAATAATTTACATTCCAATCTTCATCATCTCTGTAGCTTTTCCATCTGAACTCATAAATACTCCTAAGTACCATATTAATCATATAGTCTGGACTATATATATGAATTGAAAACAGCAGAACATAATGAGATCACTAATCACATAGTTTGCCTGCTATGGTTTATTCGTCTGTTCATATTCCCTGTCTAACCACAGCAACAGCCTACTTATCTAGCATTGTCTATATGGTGGCATAAACTCAACCTGAAGCACTCAGAGGCATCCTGAACCAAAAATCTTATTTTACACATATGCTCTAGTCATTTGTTTTGTGATTTCAAAACACACCAGACCTAACTAAGGGGAAGCAGTGCTGGTATACTATTATTAACTGACTGTCCTAAGTAACATCTAATGACCTGAGCATTACAAACACACAGCAGTCTGGGTCCACTTATTATAAGGACAACGAACACTTCATCTCTTTTTATCCGTGGAAATATTAACCTATTCAGAGTCCAGCAAAACATGTAATATTCACATAATGACTTGAAATGATGAAAAAAGAATGAAATTATATTTTATATTTTTTAAATGGTTGAATTTAAAAGTTTCACTGCTTTTGAAAGATTGAATTTTTTTTTTTTTAATGGAGGGACTGGGGATTGAAACCAGACCTCATGCATGCTAAGCATGCCTACTTTGCTTCTTCTGTAAGTATACCACCTCAGTTTTTTTTCCTAAGTATAGTCAGTTTACAGTACTGTGACAATTTCTGGTGTACAGCATAATGTTTTAGTCATACATATACATACATATATTCGTTTTCATATTCTTTTTCATTACAGGTTACTGAAAGATACTGAATATAGTTCCCTGTCCTATACAGAAGAAATTTTTGTTTATCTATTTTATATATCATAGTATCTGCAAATCTCGAATTCCCTATATATATCCCTTCCCACCTCCTTTCCCCTCTGTTAACCATAAGTTTGTTTTCTATGTCTGTGAGTCTGCTTCTGTTTTGTAAGTAAATTCAGCTTTCATAAATAAAGGGCAAACACGCATCACACAGGCATCAAGAGGTGACCCCTCCCCTCAGAGCAGACAATGAGCCTACCTCCTTCCCCTGGGGGCTTCAAGGCAGCCCCAGTCCCCCGTGATTTTCAATAGTAAATAATACAATACAGAATCAGTTCATACCACATTATGCTAGACAACTAAAAAAACACTAAATATAAATATAGCATTAACACTAATTTTTCTCTATAATCAAAGCAAAAACTTTCATCAATTTATACCTTTGAGGTGGTCAAGTCCACTGGAAACATCTTTTCTTACTTTTACAGCCTCCTGGGTAGGCTGTGTAGGGCTTGGCTGGGAAGAAGCTTCTCCAAGATTCTCTAGCAAAATTTTCATTAAAACTGTTAAATCATCTCTACTGAGAGCAACCTAGAAACCAAAAATAGGCTGTTGTTAATTTAAAGTAATAAAAAATGCAAAATATCATATTTATGTTTTTATTTATGGATCCTCAAATGAATTAATTGTTCACCTAACAACAAAAACAACAAAAAGCAAGTTGCGACCATAAATACCAGGAGAGAAGTATTTCATCTTACATAGTATTAGACATTCCTCCTGTGAGTAAACATGCTTCTGCCTCCATTTGTATCCAAGACCCGGCTTCCGGTACTTCATCCCTCTTCCTGCCTTAACTGTCATTCTCCAGTTCCTCCTGTTCCTGGACCTGTGCCTCTCTCCCCTCTCCTGAGCTCCTCATCTCCATTCTGCCTTTCTCTCTTCTCATCCAGTACTAGCTTCCTCCTGCACATTTACTCCCCTCCAAACTCAATACAGGAAGAGTGCTGTTCAGTTTTCAGCCTCTACCAAGAAGGAAAAAGATGCTCTCCTGCAGTGTAGCGCCTATTCTCAGCACATACGCATTTGTACGTACATAAATCATTTGTTTAACTTATGAAGATAATGCCTCTTAGAACAATAACAAGTGCATCTACAAAGAATTTTTTAAAATCAAAACACAGAAGAGGAAATGAGTATCTTCCTTATCTTCAACCTGTATAAAAGGAGGTATGTGGCAAAAAGAAAAAGGAAAAAAAAGCAAGAGCTTTTGAGTCAGGCATATCTGTATCAACTCTACAACTTTCAAGCTGTGTTGTTGGCCAAGTTTCTTAAATTCTAAAACAGGAATGTCATCTCCCTCATAGGTGGTTGCAGAACAACATGAAGCTGCTAGAACAAACGAGGATGCTACTGCCTACTAAGATCCATTAAACTTTTTAACTCTTTCATCTTTTGTACGTTTCCCCTACACACACAGTCGTCCAAAAGGCCTGTTTCTAGTATTTAAACACAAATTCACACAAGGCACATTCACAGCACCTTCTCTTCTGAACACGACAATACCCAATGTCCCCCCAGTTAAGCACCTATTCCGAAGGAGTCCCTGATCCCCAGTCTAAATGAAAATGGGGAGATATTTTAGCATGAGATAATGACCAGGGATTTCTTGTTTGCTCCAAGCCCCAGTCTTTAGATAATGGATGTCACTTTAACTCCCTAGAACTTCCTTGTCTGTTCATTCCCACTTGTGATACCAACCAAGGCAACAGTTGCCTGAAAGACAAATTACTTCGCCACCTCCTAATATTTGAAAAGGGTCAAGTACTAGTTGTGGGATATAATCTTAGCAAGGGAGAATTTGAGAGAACAGTCCCATACTCTGGAGTAGAGAAGCCTCTATCAATACCCTAAGCAGATGCTCTTCTTCATATAACACACCTACTCACACTACATACAGGGACCTTTCATTCCTACAACAAACTTCACTTTTAACATCTTCTCTAGTTGGACTTTGCTCGTTTGACCCTTCCTGTTCTATTTAGAACTAACTGAAATAATCACAGATATCAAAAACCTCTAAACTACTACTTATTTGTCTTTCAAACATTCCATTTAGTTACTCCCTCCCTTTTCCTATCTTCTACTGTTTGGCTTCAACAGTTTCACACACAGGCACACAAGAATCCTAAGATTCCTATACTTCCATGACCATCTTTGACCAGTATCATCTCTTCCTGTGAGCTACACATGACCTGCTAACTACAGTAATAAATAAAAATAATTGCTGTTTATGTGGTATTGGCACAAAAGCACGTGAATCAATGGAACAGAACAGAGAGCTCAAAAATAAACCCACAGACCTACGGGCAATTAATCTTTGACAAAGGAGGCAAGAACAGACAATGGAGAAAAGACAGTCTCTTTAGCAACTAGTGTTGGGAAAGCCAGACAGTCACAAGTAAATCAATGAAGTTGTTAGCACCCTCCCTCATACCATACACAAAAATACACTCAAAATGGCTTAAAGACTTAAATATAAGACATGACAGCATAAAACTCCTAGAAAGGAACATAGGCAAAACATTCTCTGACATAAACCATAGCAATGTTCTCTTAGCTCAGTCTCCCGAGTCAATAGAAATAAAAGTAAAAGTAAATAAATAAGACCTAATCACACTTACAAGCTTTTGACAGCAAAGGAAACCATAAATGAAACGAAAAGACAATCTGTGCGCTGGGAGAAATATATATACAAACAATGCAAAAGACAAAGGCTTAATTTCCAAAATATACAAACAGCTCATATAGCTCAATAACAAAAAAAACAAACCAAACAACCCAGTCAAAAATATGGACAGAAGACCTAAACAGACATTTCTCCAAAGAAGACATACAGATGGCCAACAGGCACATGAAAAGATGCTCAACATTGTTAATTATTAGAGAAACACAAATCAAAACTGCAATAAGGTATCACCTCACACTAACTAGTCAGAATGGCCATCCTTAAAAAGTCTACAAATAATAAATGCTGGAGAGGGTGTGGAGAAAAGAAAATCCTCCTACACTGTTGATGGGAATGTAAATTGGTGTAGCCACTATGGAAAACAGTATGGAAGTTCCTTAAAAATCTAAAAACAGAGTTACCTTATGAACCAGCAATCCCACTCCTGGGCATATATCCGAAAAAGATAAAAACTCTAATCCAAAAAGATACAAGCACCTCGATGTTCAAAGCAACAATATTTACAATAGTCAAGACACAGAAGCAACCTAAATGTCCCTCAAAAGATGAAGGGATAAAGAAGATATGGTATATATGCAATGGAATATTACTCAGCCATAAAAAATGAAATAATGCTATATGCAACAACATAGATGGACCTAGAGATTATAATACTAAGAGAAGTCAGACAGAGAAAGATAAATATTATATGATGTCACTTGTATGTGGAATCTGAAAAAAATGATCCAAATGAATTTATTTACAAAACAGAAACAAACACATAGACACAGAAAACAAACTTATAGCTACCAAAGGGGAAGACGAGGAGGGATAAATTAGGAATTTGGGATTAGCAGATACAGTCTACTATATATAAAACAGATAAACAACAAGGCTCTACTGTAATGGAAAAAATCTGAAAAAGAATATATATATATGTATATGTATGTGTGTGTATTTACATAAAACTGAATCACTTGGTCGCACACCAGAAACTAACACAATATTGTAAATCAAATATACTTCAAATAAAAAAAAGTATTGCTGTTTATATGCTGACCAAATAAACATATTCACTTTTCTATTTAAAAGAGTACTTCTATACATTAAAAATACTAAGGTGCTTTGAGAATGTGACATCCAAGTATCACCGTATAGTGTCTCATAATTTAACTGCCTTAAAACTTTAATAGAATTGTCCAAAATTACTAATAATATTTTCAGTTGACCCCAATAGGTTTTAACCCCAGATTTCTTGCTGGCTTTATCAAACATCTGACTAATATGAAATAAAGAAAAGTGTGGGACCTAGGATGACCTCATTTTTAGTTAACAGAGCATTCCCTTTAAATGTATCATCACTTCTGATGTGCTCTAGAACTACACTGTATCAATGACAAAAGCCTATCTAGCAACTTTCATACATTTTATACATATACTTACCTGCATAGGTTTTAGTTTTCCTTTTATCTCCATCCCTGGAATTTGCACGTACCATGTTGCTGCTAAATTTCGCTGTATGGACAAAAGCATGTTGACTGGTTTTAAAATTTCAATGTCATGTTGTGGTAAGCCAGACTGCAAAATCGTTCTGGAAGATAAATAAGAATTTGTATTTCTGAAATTTACATTTTAAAATGAAGACTATCATACTGTGTAACAGTTTCCACATAGCATTCTCCTAAACACTAAAGGCTGCAATCAGAGTTCTTTCAGAACACGCCTCTTTTCGCTAATCAATCTAAATCAGAATAAATCAAGTTTACATGCAGAACTATGTAAAACAAAGCCTGTATAATGCTGATTTCAAAGACACAAATTTCATGAAGTATGACTATTGCACTATTTACTATCTTTCACAAGGACAATTTAATACTAGCAACCAGTCTGTCATACAAATGCTACATCCTTCTAAAACTGGAGGAGACAGAAAGTGATAGTCTACCCAGCCCTTAGTTTTATGTTAATAGCACTTCTCCAAACTCAAAGGGAAAAACTCACCAAACCTAAAAGTTAAACAAGCATACTGTAATAGTCATTTCTAGCTTGCCCGTCAACAAATATTTGAACAACCAAAAAAGTTACTCTTGTCCTTCAACAGAACCAACACTTTTCCATTTGGATTCGATAATCATTTAGATACCTTACTGAGAATTCCTAAATGTGACAAGGTTTGGAAATCAGAAATAAACCTTAAATTTTATTACATTTTAAGAAGTCTTCTCCTATGCACAGAAAAGAAAATAGCTATGTGCAGAGTAAAAATATGAACAAAGAAAAATAAATCTAAACTAAGTATTGAGTAAACTATAATTTTATAGTAGGAAATTTTACAGTAGGGAATTTTTATAGAATAAAAAAAAGCTACAAATTTAGTAAGACAAAAATGCAGATTCTATGAGGTACACCGCTACCAAGCACTGACCAAAAACCAACAGCCAAGGTTTCATAATCAGAAAAAATAAAGAATAAGACCCATAAAACCCTGGAGGGGTTTTACCCTTGGCAAAGATTCTATTCCTAGTAAGTAACAGATGACTGTATTATATTTTTATACCTGGACAGCTTCAGCTGAGTGAGCTGGATGCTCATTGTGTCAATGACTGGGGGAAGAGGACAGTGTTCCACAGCAACCACGTTAAATTTGTTTTCAACTCTGATTAAACCCAGATCTGCTATAACAGCATTAGGTGATACAGAAGACTGAGGAATGATGATAACTGGTGCTTTCAAATTGACATCCATCAGAAGGCGGAAACTCTTTTCAGCCAAGTCTTTCATGCTGGAAGCAGCTCTTTCTGCAGCTTGGACTGTAGCTGTGCTCAAAGCCTCTTTGGCAGTTTGAAAATTGTTAAGGAAGTTCTGTTGAAAGAGACTGATATTTAGAGCTCCCCTCAAAGTGGGATTTATTTTTAAATGGAAGGACTTTAAAAAAGACAAACTAAATAAAAGAGGTGATATAAAAGAGATGTTATTTATGATTGGTTACATAGAGAGTAAAGTCTAGAAAGATACAGTTTGAGATAATTAACAAGTGGAAGAGAGTCCTTTAACTTTCATTTTATGTATTTCAGAATTTTTTGGACACATTTTGGTAATAATTCTTTCTTACATTTCCCTTTTACTCATGAATGTTGGTCATTTTAATTCAAATTTAATAAAGAGATGGCAGAGAGTGCTCTACTTCTCCCAAAGTAGCTTCAATTCTGTACCTCTAGGTCATAGGAATAAAGTTTACACTTAGAAACTGAGGTTTTACCAACTTATTTCTGAAGATTCTTTTTTTAAATGTACCCCAAGGAGCAAAGATGCTTAAGTGTTTATAATCTTGTAATCATTAATCAGAGTCAAAACTTCTTTATTTAGGGTAAGATGCCTTTCATCTCAATTTCAACTAAAAATGGATTTTTCCTAATGAAGAAAAAAAAACTGGAAGCAATATTCTTGATATACATCCATTAATAACACAAAGTGACTTAAACTAACCCCCTTCTAAATAAATTACCTTCCAGAAAAATAAAACATGATGGTTTAGGTAGAAATATATGACTTGTAAGCTTTGAATAACAGCCTCACTAAGAGGCACAGACAAATTAAACTCTTTGGTCCAGGACACTTAAATGGAAATAAACAACTGAAAGAAAAGAATTTTATGACTTTGTTGATCAAAATTATAATCAAAACCTGTAAGTTTCAATATAAGTCCTTCAAATGCCTGATAAGCTCCTTAAAAGATTCTTTTAGCTAAATACTTTTTAAGGGTATCTCATAAAACAAACAGCACTGAAAAGCCCTAACTTAAAACATCAGAAGGTACTTTCAAAATACGTAACAATGGGAATGTTAAGGAATGATCATGTATAGGTTCAAAACAATGATAGACATTCATTTAGTTATCCATCATGTAAGGAACTTCCCTAATGGTAAAATTCTGCTCAGTATTTGGGAGTTTACCCCTATTAGTAAAGATTTTGACTATCGAGGTTCAGATGTATAGGCAAAGATACTGAGGCCTCAATGGGAAATAAATAGATGTAAAGAATAAACTTACCAAAAGAGACATGAAGAATTTATGAACATAAACAACTTGAATACAGCCCACTTTGAGACTAAGTTTGCCATCTACTTTAGACATATCAGCATAGGCCTTTCCTTCTGTAGCATCTGGATAAAGAGTCATTTGGAATCTAAAGACTTCATCTTCCAAAATAGAGACAGCCTAAAAGTATTAAATTAACTGGTTATTACAACAAAAAAGCTGTATCAGTATAGTATAAATAAGATTCCTTATTACAGAATTCTTGATAAAGAAGCATCATTTAAATTCAACCTTCAACGAATGATTAGTTAAAAACATTTAACTTGACAATAACTTTTTCCTAAATCTATAAAAAACATTTTATCAATGGAGGTATCAATCACTTAACTGGTCAGAGATAGCTTTTACAAATCACCTAGTCTATACACAATGTGGAAACAGACAGTGACCATACTTCTGCCCAGTCCCTAACAAAATGCCTGACACGTGACAGACAATATAGAATGAACAAATGAATAAACGCATCTCAAGCCCAAAGAACGAAAATAAATTCCAATATAGAAACATATTCTTTAATTACCTTTTTGTGAATGGACAGCAAATCAACGTTCGTAACTACGATATCCTTAAGTCTGGCAAATACGTCGGTCTGCTTTGGCCTCACAGAAACAGAAGCATCCATTCCTGTGGGAAAAATGACACTTGTCACCTACTCCAAGTGAACTGATTTACTGGTATTTAAGTTCAATACCATACTACCAAGATATGGAATGAATAAAAATTACTCACTATTACACATAGTAAAGGTATTACCTTTTACATATGAGATACCTAAGAAAGATGATACTATCTTTAAGTGCTAAGGGCATCTCATAACTAAAACGTGTAGAAATTTTAAAACAAAAGAAATCAAATTTCAAAGAAAATTAATCACAGGTCTCCAAACATAAAAATCCTGTGCACTGGTAAGCTCAGAGCTGGTCATTTAGGAAGACATACAACATTTACTAAATAACCATCTCACAAACATTATATTATTATAAAAACTATTACTCTAAAAACTAAGCATAAATAAATATAGTTTGACGAGTTAAGTATGATTCTTTCTACAATAAACTGTGCCTAACACATAATGTTTTAAGATTTCTCTCCAAAAAAATGTCTGTCATTCTTATAAGCTCTAAAGGCATGGTTTCTAAAACCACACCTCAGTAAAGAGAGAATGCCTATAGGTTAGCCCCAATAACGAGCCCAAATCACTACCACACTACTCATAAAACAGATTAATATTTGTTAAATGGAACTGACTGTCTCACCTCTTATTAACTTCTTATTATGTAAGCACCAGGCACTTTTCTAAATATATGTAAGTCTGTAAACTTAATCCTCACAACAATCCCATGAATAATTATTATAACTAACTCCATTTTACAGAAGAGGGAACTCAGGCACGGAAACGTTAATTAATTTGCTCAAGGTCAGCCAGTAAGTGTTAGAACCATAATTTGAACCTTGGCAGGCTGGCTCCAGGATCTACAGTATAATCTGCACTCATCCCTGTATCAGGCTGATGATGAGTAAAGCTTAAAAACTTTCCTCTAGAAAAATTCTTTCCCTGAATTCTATATATGCACAAGAGACAAGGGGAAAAAAGCAGAACTCAGTGAGATGTTACGATATTCATTTCTCAGTTTGAAGTTATATTATTCTGAAAACACAAACAGGACACAAGAGATTAAGCCTCAGACTTATTCTGAAAATTTTTAAAAACATAAGGAATGTCTCACATCAGTCATGAATCATAACACATTTACTTCTAACATTTCATAGCACATCTTTGAAAAGTTTGCAGGAGTCCTCAATATACATAAACCCAAAGATGACTCAAGAGAAATCCACCATGCAACAAGCTCATTCTTCCTGAAGGTCTATGTAGAGAAACAGAAATACCTACACCAAGGAATAGTTACTTACCATGTATTCGAATATCTGCAATGTTACACTTCTGATCACAGACAAAGATATTAAATGCATTTAATTCAGCTATGATCTTTATATCAAACACATCGTCTTGAGAAGTACTGCTGGATACTGAAAAATAACAGAATTCTTGTGATTAACAAAGTGCACAAATGATATAACACATAAAATAATCTCAAATTCACTAAAATAAAAGTACATTATGAACTATGAAGAACCAAAAAGATCTCCATTAAGAATACGTATAATTAATATGATTTTTAATCAACTTTCAAATGTTAATCAGACAAAAACTACTATGTTCTCGTCCAAATGAAAAATAAAGGCAACTTTTAATAGCACTGTGTAAATACAATTTTGCTAGATGGAAACTTACAATTTTTCTTCTAGGAAAAAAAAACCCTCTACATTAGAATTCTAAAATTCCATTACAGCCACATTTTGATTTTTAACTCCTTTCATAACATATATTAGATCAAAGAAAAATATTTCATGAAAAACTGAAATAGTGACAGTTAATAAAATCTGTATTGTTAACTATGACATTTACAATACGTATTAACTACAGAGCCAATTTCTCTAGATTGCATTTTTTTCTCCATCCTAAAATAAATTCTGTAAGAAATGAACATAAAGGGCTAAAATTAAGGAAAAAAACAAAAAAATTATTTTATAATGTATGTCTGTGTCTGCTACATATGTACAAGAATCACAATCAAATAGATTCCCTTAATCTATTTTAGTCCAGGTCCTGATTGATAAATATAAGATATAATTTCCCAGAGATTTGTCTTAGCTGAGGGAAACAGACTTTCCCTATAAAACTGTAACAGCATGGGGACAGGAGTCCTTAATTACCAGATGATAAAAGGGTTTTTTTTTAATATATATTTAAAATAACATAATCAAACCATAAAAAGCAGTCATACAGCATAACTGGAAGACTGTTTCTTTGGACTAATGTTTTTGGTAGTTTATTGTGAGCTTAAGCATTGCTTTTTAATTTATTCAACTGTGTGTGTGTATGTATATGTTATTAAGATATTTCCATGGATATTAATGTAACAAGTACATTAAAGACAAAGAAGGTAAAACTCTCTCACTCCAGTTTATAGCAAAAATAATGTTCTGCTCTCTGGTAAAAACAAAACAAAACAAAACAAAACTCATCCTTGTATCAGATTTAATATTACTAACAGTTTTACACTCTAAAGATGCCAGTAATACAGATAATGCAAATAGGTAATGTTCTGAAAATTAAATTACCAGATGTTAGATATTCACACCTTATGATATGAAAGAAAAATAATTAAAATAATATTTGGCTTTAAAACAGGCATATGCTCACTCTGGCTACCTCACATCTAATATTTCAAGATACAAGTCATGGCATGTGCCCATATTTCTATGTGATTTAAATACAGGTTCACTTAGAAACCAAAGTGAGTCTGTCTCTTTGATGAGATTATTCCTTTTGTGTCTTGCCAAGCTTAAAACTGCTGACCATCAGGTAGGTCTAACTGACTGACTGAAATGGGCCCCTGTGACCATGCATGATTCTGTTAATATTTTAATTTTGTCCTTTCTCACTTTCACTGGAATGAAGCCTATAGAGACATCAATGCAAAGTATATGCAACTTTACTTTATGTAGAAGCTAGTCAGTGATATCAAATATAAATACATGATTAATATTAAACATTTATTTAAACTCCCTCACTAAATTATCCTATTATACCATAGGGATAAAATCTGCTTTCTTTTGAAAACCTAATCTGTCAGAGCAGCTGTAACATTAAGGTCCTAAATAGTTATCTTGGCTTGAAAATACAAGTTATTATATGAATATTAAATTCAGATAGAAAGTATTAGACCAGGACTCAAAAGTTAATACCAGTTTTGGCAATGATACTTCTGGACTCCCCGACAAGTGGTTTCAGCTCCAGTTCCTTCTTAGAAGGTTCAGAGGATGGAACAGCAGACGACAGAAAATCCATGAAGGACAGTAAAGCTTCCAAATGAAGAACTAAGTCTAAGGATGAAAATGAAACCTAAGATAATGAACAATTAGAAAGGCAGATTTCAGATACGGTAATTTCTGTTAAACTTCAACATACACAGGCTGCACGAGAATAGTTGAATTAAGGGCCTTTTTTATTTAAGAAAAAAAACCTACTATTACTTATTATAACTTACCAGACAATAAAAACCAACACTGCCCACTCCCACACCCGACCATCGTTCTAACCTCAACAGAACCTGACGGGCTTTAAGGTAAAAATACAGGAAGTATTATCAGTCACCTTACACATGGTTCCAAGACAGGCCATACAGACTCAAATGGACTGTGAAGTGATGTCTGTACTGAGCCATACTTTTACCTTATCCCTAATTTTACTCTAATCCTAAAGCCAGCTCACAATTCAAATGTTTAATGCTTCCAGCAACACTATGCCAAACAACCATAGTGAACAAAATTCCCTTAAAAAGTATATTACTTATGTACTCAACAAGGAATCATTAATTCATATCTGGGAAATAACTAGTCTTTTGTAATAATTTTACTTCAACTATATATCCATTTCTTTTATCTATAAGATTAGATCTATTACTGCTACCCTTATTCTAATTTTAGAACTCACAATCTCACAACTGAAGATGGCTTTGAAGCCAGACTCAATCACTAATATATAACCTAGCCTTACAGTGAATTAGAAGAGATTTACCTTCAGTCTTTGCTTCGTATTGTCATGCACAGTTTTAAATTCTGGTCCATCACTGTCTGCCTACAAATAATGGAAGATTAAACCAAATTTACACATTGAAAAAAACAGATTTATATTCTTTACTTTTCAAAGTATGCTATGAAAACACTATAAACGTATTTCTCATAGGCGAAGAAAAGCATGCCAAAAACCTGGCCACCGAAGCTTTTCTCCTATTCTACAGAAGCAAAAACAAACTCCTTATCCTACTTGGGAGGAAATGTTAAAGGTAGGGGAAAATGTTAGCGTATCTAGATTATAACAGATTTTGCTTCAAATTACAATGGAACTTTATACACTTCCACTAATTCAAAAACATTGGGTTAACTCAGAAGGTTAGTGAAATTATCCAGGATTGTCAGATGCTTCCATAATTCACTATAATCTACCAATTTTAGAATGAAAAATTTTAGGGGGGAGATTTGAACTTCTATTAAATAAGGGGGAATCACATAGCTTTATATATTCAAATATTAAAGAATACCAGAAATGAAACTAGGTACCTTTGTCAGTAACATTTTCAGAAGGGTTTCATCTGTTACATTAGAAGAGTTAATAATGTGGAGAGGTCCTCCTTTAGAGTCTAGAAGAGAAAAAGAGAAGGTAGATCCATTAAGTCTTTTAAACATTTCAAATGTATTTAAAAATAGATTGGCCAGTGACACGGATATGTTTGTCAAAACTCAAAGATGTACACTAAAAAGGGTGAATTTCACTGTATATGAATCATCTCTCAATAAAACTCGCTTTGAAACAAAAATGAAAGAAATTCCATAAAAACAAAAAACCCAGCAACGGCCATTTACAACTGCTATAATCATATACTACTGGTATTATTTACTTGCACAAATCAGAATATATTAAAGAACAAAGGTATAAAATACACTGAAGTAGGCATTATTCTCAATAAAAGTTTGCTTTACTTAAAGGTAACCTATAGAATTCCTGCAAACTTCAAACACCCACAGCAACTTTCAAAGTTGGCTGGATGCAATTCAGAAAGTACATCTGAAAGGTCAAAGAGACGACAAGTCCATGTTAAATTTTTCCTCTATAAATTTCTGTATTTAATTTTTTTAAGTATATATCAATATAATTAAACACAAATAAAAAACATTGATGTAATTTTAAAAACAAACAAAAACAGTTACTAGTAAATTAACTCACCTTTTCAAAAAGGGTCCACACCTGGGTATTGTACTCGGGTTGTGATTTCCTAAGGTGTCAGTTCTCACAGCATAGTTATAATGAAATGTTGCCTTTTACAAGTCCTGAAGTATTATGTATTGATCTTGAAGACAAATGCTTCATTTCTCCTTTAGATATATACTACTTTGTGCTAAATATTTAGATATATTCTCATTTTATGACAATTACATAGATAATAAATTTTTAGTACCAAATTCCTTTATATTAATTTAAACTAGCTAAAAAATTATGGTGACACTAATAAACGTGCTAAATGTTGATTAAAAGGTAGCAACCATCTGCTATTACATGCACAATTTACACAGACTCGACTTCACACTTACCTGAGAACTCAAAGCATCGCATACTAATTTTTTTCAGATAAGCTTCAGCAGTCAGGTCGTAGGCTTTAACTCTAGCTTCCATTCCAAGCTGTAGGACACTTAGTTCATGTAAAGGCCTTCCTTTCTTTTCTGCTTTTTCCATCAAAGTAATCACAACCTAGTAAAAGATACCAGTTTTACTACAAACTATTTCATACCAATATATGATGAAGATAAGTCAATAATGTAATAACCATCCAGAGCGATATAACCAAAAAATTCACACGATGTTAAGATGTTTACTTCTATTTGTGCCTGGAAATTGCCTAGGATTATCTACTTTGGAAGGTACACCTATTTGTTCAGATTTTTAAAGCACTGCCACTGTATTCCACTGGCTTTCAAGAGTTATATTAAAAAAAGTTGTCCTGCCTAATTTTCAGAAGTCACAGTCTGATGGATGGCATCAGACTAGATGTAAAAGTCTGTGAGATAAAACAGTCAACGTTTATGCTATTACTAAGGCAAAGTTTCTCAACCTTGGAACCACTGACATTTGGGGTTGGATAATTCTTCCTAGTAGGGCCCAGTCTCATGCGCGCTGTAGGCTGCTTGGTGGCATCAATGGCTTCTACCCACTGGCTGCCAATAGCTCTGTCTCTCTGTATAGTGACAACCAAAAATGTCTTTAGTCGGGAGGGTATAGCTCAGTTGACAGAGCACGTGCTCAGCATGCACGAGGTCCTGGGTTCAATCCCTAGTACCTCCATTAAAAAATGCAAATTGCTTCCCCCACCCTAATCACTGTCCTAAGGAAAAGGAACTGTAGTAATATATATTACAAATGATGTTAAAAATGACTTATGGGTTTTCTATGTACATATGTTAATGAAGCTCATTTGCAAAGACAATGATTCATCTATCAAAGTTTCAATTATCAAAGCCTAAAAATCTTCAGTAACTGTAATATTAACCAGAAAAACAGAAGAGGTTTAACATGAAAGCATTATATTTCAGATCAAAAAAGTAGAACTCATTTGTTTAAAAGTTTATTATTTTTAACTCGGAGATAGAACATAACCTCTCTATAACTATTTCATAATAAAGCGACATTGGAGGAAGTTCTTGCATGTCCCTGTATCCTCCGTATTTCCCACCTTTACATATGTTCATGCCTGGTCCTCTTTCTACGGATAGGGTTCAGCCCCTTTCCTGAACTCCTTTTCTCAGACTACGTCTTATTCTTCTTTAAAAATTCAAATTTCACTTTCTCCAGGAAATCTTCCCTGACTCTCTCAGACTGCTTTGATGCCCTCCTCTTACCATCACTGCCACAAGCTCCCTGGGCAAGTTTTTAATGGGAGCAGTTACAAAAATTTTAATTATTTTCTTGTTTGACTTCAGAGCCAATTATCTCTGAATCCTTAGCACTTGGCATATGCATTATTTGTTACATGTGTGAATGGAGACGAGGAAAATTCACTTAATCTTTCCTCAAGAATCTGCAGATGGAAAGCAGTGATAATGTAATATTTTTTAAATGTTGACATATAATGCTTTATTCTATTAATGGTTTCTAAAATTTGCAAAGAATTTCTGTCACTATTTCCTTTTCCTGCCTTTCCTAAAAATCCAAAGCAAGCCACATTCCAACTGTCCCAAAATCATTTAAAAACCATGTTATAGGACATACTACCATTTTCTCTAAGAAATATTATATCCCCCAAATATAACTCATCTTGAACAAACTCTCAAATTTTTAAACATTATTGCTGCATACAAATTACAGATAGGCTATGTAAGATTTTTTTTATCCGTATCAATAATCAACAAGTTTCCTTTAGTAGAGGTAATTCCAAATATCTATTCTTTATTCACCTCACTTTATAAAAACAGATGAATATAACACACCTCTTTGATCTCAAATTTCAGCAGCATATTAATGATGTCTACAGATCTAATTTCTTCCACTTCAGCTGTTAAAGCATCTTGTGAAACAGGCACATCTTGTTTTAAGGTAGAGATTTCAAGCGGCTCTTTAATTTCACCTAAAGATGTTTAAAACAAATGCATTCACTTCTATTCTAACAGACACTGTATCAAGTGAACAGAAAACACAGAACTAGGCATTGTCATGAGGAGGTCAAGAAAGTCTTAATAGAGTTATCATTCAAGTAGAACTGAAGGACCTCCTCATAGAGGGAACACATTCTAAGAAGGTCAGAGTTTGTGGAAATCACAGAAAGATAACGTATCAGGGTAGGTATTGCAAACAGGATGGAGTTGGAAATGGTTAAATCATGAGGAGGATAACAAGAGTTAAAGCTTGATAAGGAAAAAAAAAAGGGAGAATAGTTAAAGCCACTTATGTCACACCAAGTACCAAAAGTAAAACCCTATGAATGCGACCTTGTGGTCCTAAATTCACGCACCCTGAAATGCAATAAAATTGCTTTCTAAATCGTAATACACAACACTAATAACAGATATCACTTGCTTAGTATTTACCTCTGTGTTAGATGCTGCGCTAATAAGACATACGTGGACTGTCTCATTTAATTCTGTAACAACCGTTTGAGGTAAAAATTTCATTATCCTCATTTCACAGACAAGCAAATTGAGGGGCAGACAGATTCAGTACCTCAAATAGTATAAACTATACCAGAAACCCCTATGGAATATCACTGTTGTTAATTATTACCTTTGGGAAAGCAATGCATAGGGCAAAGTTTCTTAATACCACCTTATTCCAACACTTCCAAACATAGTGTGATCCATGGAAAATAATTCTAGCAAATATTTAGCTTTTACAAAACAATTCCTGGAATAGGCAAAGATTTTAAAAATAGGAAATAAAAAGCACTGATCATTTTTTAAAATTCACTATTAGAATCAGAATTCACTAAAATTAACTAATTCTATTACTGACTGGGAAGGGGCAGAGGGAGGTCTTCTGGGTGCCACGCTGGAAATGTTCTATATCTTAATCATGGTGGTGACACTGGTGTAGCCATATGTAGAAATTCACTGAACTGTACACTTAAGATTTGCACACTTCACATATTAATATACTCTAAAATAAAGATTTTTTCCCCCTAGTTTTTTTAGGATTTATTTTTGAGATATAATTGACATAAAATATTACATTGGTTTCAGGTAAAAAAGTTTTTTAAAAATGAAAAAATACAGTAAGATCATTTTCTGCTTAACAAATTGACAAAAAATTTTAAATCTGATAATATGCTGTGTTAGAAAAGGCATAGAAAAACTACCTGATGGGAACAAAATGTAAGTGTAAGTTCTATGGGGGGAAACTGGCAAGATCTTTCAAAATGTTAAATTAAACTAATTTTATTGAATATATTGACTAGATTATATTTTAATAAAAATTAAATATTCTTTAACCCAGCAGCCCTGGTATTTCCCCCATAGATAAACACGCATTTGTAAAAGTGTATATACAAGGATATTTAATGCAACATGGTAAGAGTGAAATATTGAAAACAACACGAAATGTGCATTAATAGGGATTTGCTAAATAAATTATGATACTTCAACAGAATTTAATACCAAGCAACCATGAAAAAGAATGAATCGGATCTATACATATACAGAAACGGAATGAACACCAAGGTACATAGTGTGAATATATGTGTACACGTAAAACAGCTTACAAAAATAAGTTTGGTAGTTACTCTGCCTTTAAGTCCAAAGGGCTATTGTACCTAATAATTTAAATTATCTTTGCATTTTTATTCCAGTACAATTTTTTTAAGTTATCTGTTGAGTCATAATTTATCAACCACTTCACTTTTTTAAGATACATTACTACTAAGCCTTATTTAAAAATCAGATCAAGTATGTTACATAGCCTAGTGCCAACTTAAAATGTTTTTTTTCTATACATACAAATTCAGTAATTGTTCAGGAATCCACCACTAATCTGAAACCCTTCTTTATGGCCTTCTCCTAACTCATGCAACTTAGAAATAATTGACTGTTCACTCAACTTAAAAACAAGCTAGTTTTATTCAATAGCATCTTATTTGTTTTCTTGGCAATAGAAATCACAATTTGTAAATGTGTGTTTGTTTACTTCATTTTTTACTGCCTGTCTCCTCTACTAAATTATAAAATAAGTAGTCATGTGTATTATGCCACTGACTTCAGCCTCTTACCCGGCTCCTGTATTCTCGGTTTCACTTTATCCAGGTCTTCAGTAGCTTCACCAAGATTTTCTGCTAGTATTCTAAACAAAAGATTAAGATCTTCTTGATTTAGATTAACCTAGAAAGATACAGATATTTCATTTTTAAAGGAAACAATTTTAATACAGAAAATTTCCTTAGTAATAAAACACTGAAGACAGAATAATCTTATTAACACTTACTAAAAAAATTATATAATCACTATACAATCAAGTATTTCACTACTTATTTCATGTTAAAATTTTTATTTTCAAAGGTAAGACAGTGTTTGGAGAAAAACACTGTGATTTATGAGTCTATATTAGTTCCACCTACTTAACCAATATGATCCTTAGAGAAAGTTAATAATGATGAAAGAAATCAGATCACTTTTTCTAATGAGACAATTTCAGAACACGCATAAACTCCACTTTTTAAACAATAACAACTTCAATGAAATAAAAAGGCCATCTTCAATATAAAAAATAGGCATTTCACTCAATGCTATAATTATCTTAGGAGTACTTCGATATCCCTAAAATAAAAGTATGTGTATATAACATACAGAATGAGATATAAATATGATATATGCTAATACATAACTTACATACAGATCCCTGTTAATGTGTACATAGAGCAAATTTAAAACCTAAGTAACACAACTGAAGATTAAATTCTACTAAAAATAATAAAGATCTTACTGAACAATATCACACTGAAATTTTCTTGTAACAATTAGTAAAAAACTCCACATTTCATTTAGATTTCTAATGAGAAAATTTTCAGAGCTTTTTCACTCATAAACTCACATTCATGGATTCAAGATGCCCTTTAATTTCCACAACAGGCACCTTGTGGTACCAAGATGCGGCCAGATTGCGATTTACAGAAAACTCCAAGTTAATTGGGTGCAACAGTTGAATATCAGGATGGGAGGTGCCTGACTGGATCACCGTCCTAATAAAAAATGTAATTAATACATATGCATGAACACAGGGGGTAAATGCAATACATCATTAAAAAAACACAAAGTCAAAAGTTGCTGCTATCAACACTGATTTGAAACAGTGCTGGTTCAGTGTTTTCTAAACTTGTACTATAATTAATTTAATCTGTAATACACTAGCACAAACAGATTAAAACACAGGTGGCCCTTGAAAAATGCAGAGGGGTTAGGGGCAACGACCCTCCCTGCAGTCGTAAAACTTGAAGTTTGCCCTTCATATCCGCGGTTTCTCTGTATATGAGTTTCCTCTGTATATGCAGCTCCTCTGTATTCATGGTTCAAAACAATCACGGGTTGTATAATACTGTATTATTTGGCACTGAAAAATATCTGCGTGTAAGCAGAATCATGCAGTTTAAACCCATGTTGTTCAAGGGTCAACTGTACATTTGTTTACAGGGTCAACTGTACAATCAGCCTTTAAGAAAGCGTTTTTCTTTAAACAGAAGATAGGTGACAAACTAAATAAATTTTAAAAAGAAATTCATACTATTGAAGATGGGGGAAATCATCAATACAGTTGTTCAAGAACTGCATGTGCACTATAGAGACTAATGAAAAAAATGGCAAGATGAAAAGTAAGCAATTTCTAAGTTTATAAAGGTCTTCACCAGGATTATTTCCTGGACTTGCTTTATAATCATTCCTTTTTTATTGAGGATAATTAAATCTCCCTGGATGGGGTAGAAAATGATTTTTAAATGAATTGTGTACACATTTTCAAGTGTCCTCTGGCGTGAGCCCTAGAGATACATCATTACTTACACAGTATTCCTGCCAAAAATGTGTAAGCTCAGTTAAATCATGAGGAATCACTCAGACAAAAACTCAACTGAGAGTCATTCCATGAAACAAGTGGACTGTACCCTTCAAAACTGTAATCATCATGAAAGAAAAGAGACGCTGAAGAACAATTCCAGAATAAATGTCTAGCCGTATAGAAATCCCCTCCCTGGTACAGGACTCAAATAAATGCCACATGTTATCCTGGATGAAGGGAAAAATTCTTAGAACAACCAGTAAAATCTGAACATTAAAGGCATATTAGATAATGGATTCTATCAATTTTAAATTTCCAGAATTTGATAACGGCATTGTGGTTATGTAAGAGGATTAATCTTAGGAGACACATGCTAAACCATTTAGGGGCAAAGGGTTAAGATGTCTATTCTCAAATGGTTTAGCAAAAATGTTTTAACTTCCAATTATAAATCTTGGGGATGTAATGTACAAGATGCTGACTACAGTTAACAATACTGTATTGTATATTTGAAAGTTGCTAAGAGAGTAGATTTTAAAAGCTCTCACAACAAGAAAAATATTTTCTGTGAATGTGTGTGGTGATGGATGTTAACTAGACTTACTATAGTTGACCATTTTGCAATATATACAAACATCAAATCATTATGTTTTATATCTGAAACTAACAAAATACGTGAATTATATCAATAAAAATAAAATTTAAAAATTTTAAGTATTTTAAGTGATAATACGTATATACACAGAGTTCAAGCAGAAATAAATAACTGGTGACTAGGTGAAGAATTATAGGGGCACTCAGTATTATTTTACTATTTTTGCAATTTGTCTGTAGGCTTGAGATTTTTCAAAATAAAAAGTTGATCTGAAAACACTCTTCTGTGCAATAGGAAGTATGTTGAGTATGAATTTAAATGGTCATTAAAGTTCATAGAAAATATTAAACAATACTTAAATCCATAATTATTGAAAGAGCATACCTAGAGAGCTTAAGCTTTGTTAGCTGCACATCCATTTTATCAATTACTGGAGGGTGTGAGTAGTCTTCACCAGGTACCAGACTGAACTGATTCTGAACTCTGATTAAGCCAAGATCTACCACCACTGCATTGGTGGACATGGAAGACTGTGGGATGACTATAACCGGTGCTTTCAAATCAATATTGACAGAGACACGAAAGCTCCGCTGGGCGAGATCTTTCACACTTGTGGCAGCCTTTTCTGCAGCCTGGGCAGTGGCAGCACTCAGAGCCTCTTTGGCTGTCCGGAAATTGTTCAGAAAGTTCTGTGGACACAAAGTACAAAAGGAGAAATTCTAACAGGACGATAAGCACATCATTAATAACACCATCTTCTTTTTATTTATGTGCTAATTTTTTTCCAATAAATAACTTTCAGTTGAGTCCTTTTTTTCTAGAGTTAGGAAGGAATTACTGATTATCCATCCATATTTATGAGCTCCCTGACCAGGAGTAATTATAATTATAGCTATATGGCTAAGGAACAGAGGAAAAAAGAACATTTTCAATAGTTTCTGTAGTTGAGAATTTGGATTCACTATGTTCTAGCAGAAATAATTCCAGTTCTAGACAATGTTAGACAAAAATCATTAAATGATTCAGATTCCAGTCATTAAAGAAAGGTTTTGACCTCTACATTAATACATAAATACCATCAATCATCAAATCAATACACACCCTAAAATCCAAAGTTTTAAGATTTGCAATTATAATTATCAGACTTATTTAAGTATTTCTAAGTCAAAAAAATAGTGATTTTTACCAGAAGTGACATGAGGAATTTATGGAGATAAACAATCTGAATACAGCCAACGTTCAATGATACCACACCATCTACTTTGGACATGTCAGTATAGGAATCCCCTTCGGTAGCATCTGGATACAAATCCAAGTTAAAATTAAAAACTTCATTTCCCATTATTGACACGGCCTGAAAAGCAGAGATTTGAATGTACTCCATCCAAGAGGATAATGGCAAAACAAAATTCTAATTTAAAAGGGTTTATATTTATAATCATTATAGAAACAAACATTTTTCTATCAAAATACATTTCATTAATATTTTTAAAAATAAAATATATTTTAAAATAAAATTTAACATTTAATTATCAAAAAATACTAAGAATTTACTATCACCTACTTTTTTATGAATTGTCTTAGGATCAACATCTGTGACAATAATATTTTCCAGTCTGGCAAACAGTGACTGTTTCCTTGACTGAAGAAAAAGGGAAGAATCCAGTCCTGAAAAAAAAATACTGTTATAATTTCTATATATCTACCACAATAGATTTTAAGATTTTTATTCCATTGCATAATTTTTATAGGTGACATATTTATAAGTTTAGCAATGTCTGAACTACCAACTGATAACTAGATACAATAGTAGATATTTTTATTCTATAAACAATGAAACCCATAAATTCATTAAAAATAATTATCTGAATTTTCAACCTTCTGGAAAACTGCATCTAGTATAAACAGATTATCTTGGGATTTTAGTAAATTCTTTATACCTTATATCCAGTGATTTACATGGAAACTATAAAACTCTAATGAATCAAATTCAAACTAGGAGATGCACTGCCAGTTCAGAAAGAACAACAACAAAAAACTCTAGTTTTCTGGTTTTTAAGTTATTTAAGAATTTTATGAAACATATTCTATCACAATGAGCTGGTAAAGCTGGAGTCAGAGAAAAAGCTAGATTTATTTTAGCAGCTTTTGCCTAAAAGAACATAATGGACTCATAGGTTTTGCTCTTCATTATAAGGTTGCCTTCCATTGGTACCAAGATAAAGCGTAGTCCCAGACTTTAATCCGAATTCTGAATCGACGACACTTAGCTCATCAGCAGAATTCCTAGACTAACATTAGTATCCCTTTCACATCTGAGACCCTTCTCCAAAGGTCCAAAACACCAGTATGTGTGGTTCAGTCTGACGGTCAGAGTCTGACCAACATCTACATTCTGAAGAGTTAAAAAAAGCAGGCAGTTCAATTATGTCATAAGATAAATTAATCCAGTTTTCACAACTCAGAGCTTTAGCACTGAAAAGAAAGCTTATCTTTTAAACAATTTTTAATATGAGAATTTTACCTTGAATCTTGATTTCAGCAATATTGTTCTTCTCATCACAGACAATGACAGAGAAAGCATTCAACTTGGCAAACAGCCTGAAGTGAATAATGTCACTGTCTTTAGAGGATGCAATCACTGCAAGGAAACAAAGAAGTTCTATCACAGTGGGATTCTAGCAATAAATATTCCATTAAGGTTTCTCTCCTATATTAAATGAACTTGGTTCTGCTTAAAATAATTATAAAATACTCAAGTTCTAAAAGGTTTCAAATAGTGTTTTTCTTTATATATTCTATAGTTTGTATTTTCAATAGTGAGATCTATTACTTTTATAATTTAAAAGCAAGAAAAAACTCACAATAGATCAAGCTAAGGACACTGAAACTCAGGGAAGTTAAACAATGTGTCTATGGCCCCACAGTTTAAGTAGCAGAATCAGGATCTGAACTGAGTTCTTTCTGATCCAAACACTGGGCTTTAACCAGTTCGATGCTATCTATGCACTCCATGCACCCTGGCCCTCAGTCTCTGGGTCTCGAATTCCTCGTCTGTAAAACGGAAGGGAAGATTAAGCCTCTATGTAGCCCCTTCGGGAGCCACTGAGAGGGGAGGAAGAGCTAAGAATAAACACAGGCCTTCTTCCCCTAATGCCTGCCTGAAGGCATCCCTCAGCACCACCAGAACGGGAACAAAACCAAACATTTTTAACAACAACAGTATTAACCATACTTATCTTACATAGCAGGCACCCACGTATGATTCAGTTTGACGAAAAGGACAAAAGTGGAGAAAAGGGCATGTAAATGACTGACAGGTGGTCTCTAAGACTCCCCACTTAGCCCCAGAATTCTAAAACCCTCACTAATAAGAACCAACAAAAAAAGTCTCCATGCCTTTCTGTAGAGCTGAATTTTTTGGTTGCTTTCCAGTAGAAACTTGTGCTTCCTTGGTATCACCCACCAAGTTTTGGCCATCTGATGGAATAATGGTTGTCAGATAATTAATAGAAGAGAGAAGGGCTTGTGTATGCAGCAACAGATTTAAAGATGAAAAAGCCACCTAGAAACATTTAAAAAAGAAAATCAGCTTCTCAGGCCAATTATACCGGCAGTCTCCACAATGGACCCAAAAGGCCCCTAACTAGCCTTGCATCACGGCCTGACATCACTCAGAAGGAAGACAGAGGAGAGAAAGAGTCACAACCCGCAGTCGCTAAATAGGGATATATTTATACAAAGAGTAAATCACACCTACACACTTTGGGGGTTCATGTGAGTATGAAGGTAACCTACTTACTCCACTTTCCAAGCCTAATATCACGGAGCCTATAATCTGCTTGTCATGACCCTTCCAATATTCAAAATATACAAGGTTTTGGGATCTTAAATGGACTATTTATTATGACTATATAAACCATGTAAGTTAGAAAATGAAACTCCAGAATCACCATGTATTACCACTGTGTCAAGAAATGATTTTAAATATGACATTTAAAATCATTTAGATCATTTAAATGTGATTTAAATGTGACTTCTAGAGTAGGATATTTTCAAATAGGATCTATTCTTTCAATAGAATTTACCTTAAGTGTCTGTTCAGTTTTTTCAAAAGTAGTTTGAAAACTAGGTCCATTCTTATCAGCCTAAAAAATAAGAAACAAAAGTCTAAAGAAGGAATTAAGAACAAAGTAAATAAATCACTTACAATCATCAGGTGATTTATTTATATTTAGCTATAACTATATTATTAAATACATTATATACTTAAGTTTATTATCATTATTTTAAAGTTATATCCAAACCTATTTATTTATTATAATAGTACAAGTTTGTCCTCCTCTTCAAACAGAGGCAACATTCGCTTCTGGGAAACTGTAGCTAGGAGTCAGAATGATAATTGTGAAAGTAAGAAGGTTTAAAGGTAATCCAGCCCATCTATCACCTAATGTTTGAACCCCTTTAGAAAGTCTTTAACAAGTCAATTTTAGGATATCTCCAGTGAAAGAAACTTCATTTTCTTAGAAATCCAAACTTTAGAGAACTTTCATTTAATGAGGTCTTTACACTGAATCAAAAATCTATCTCCCATCATAATTAACAATTGGTTCAAGTTCTGTCCCTTGGAAAGATACATAGTAAATTCAAAGTTTGACCTCTTATGAAAAGCCTCTGGCTTGACCAATATCTCTGCCTCTCTGCTCCCATAATGCTTTGTGTTCTTTTTTGAGAATCAAACACATTATATTTTAATTGTTGTTTACTGTCTATCTCCCTAATAGTCTATAAGTTCCTTGAGAATGTTTTTCATCTCTGTATCCCAAGTGCCTAACAGAACCTAACACAGAAATATATTCCGTGAATAGTTGTTGAATAATTAAACAAATCAACTGATCTTGAATGAAGCTACGTAAAACTGGCTCCTTCAGCATTCCTCATATACCATATTTTTGAGTCCCTCCCGAATCCTGGCAGTTCTCTACTGAACTAAATCCAATTTGACCTTATCCCTTTTGATGTAGGATATTCAGCCAAATGTCACCTATGCATACAAAGGATGTAGGTAGATGAATTTGCCCCAGAAGATACGAGCAGGCCCTACTTCATGCCAGGCTTCCATGGTGACAAGAAGTCTGGAGGCTCTGTAAAATCTTAGTCCTGTACTTAAGTGAAAGAGAATGAGGGTGTACAAATGGAAACAGAAATAGTGGACATCCCAAAGATTAAAATCCATGACACACAGCCAGACCCTTTAATAATCTACTGTCATATTTCTCCTTCCAGAGGATAGTTTAGAGCATACAATAAATATATGAACAGCCTATGGCCCTTACCTTAATGTACTCCACTTTTAAAAGATCTAATCCAGGTTTGTCAGAAGAGCTAATCAAGTGAAGGGGCTTCTTTTTGGATCCTAGATTAAAGAAAAAGAAAAAATGTTCCAAATAAATTGCTCTTTTTAAGTTTGGAATTTTCTACATGTCTTTTTCTTTTTTGAAAAAATTTTAAGCTTTAAAATACTACCTGCACATATTTTCATGGTTATTAAATATTAAGGTCATCACTGGTAAGGAAGTCAGTCAGTCCAAATCCTTACCTTACCTCTAGAATCCAGCTGACTTTAAACATGCATACTACATTTTCTTTGATTTTATATCTGTGCTCAAAAATAATCAAAAATTCTCTGGATATTTTTAAGGCCATATGTGCACTCTGTAAGGCAGTAGAAAGACTACGGGTGTTAAGAATCAGGAAATATGAATTCTACTTCATCTCTCCTTTATCAAAAGCTATTTAACTTCAGGTGTCTCAACTAGGTAACAATGAGGTTGAGCTAGAAAAACGCGTTCTGCTGAGTTCTAAAATTTCATTCATAGTAAAGAAATTTAAATAATTTTCCTCTGTTTAGATTTAGAGAAGGCTTACACAGAAGAGGAAAGATTTTCTTTTTAAGGGAAGGGGATTATTAAACTTCTTTCAATTTAAAAACAACAGGAACTACCAGATGTCCTCTATGCTATGTAGATGTACCAAGGCGCTGCCTCCAGAAACTGTGCAGGGAGAAGTAATTTATCCACCCTTTTACTCATCTTTTATTATGTACAGTTTTGTAACCCGTTTCTGGACAACCCTGAATTTTCCATTGAAATAACCTTCTCTAAGGGAAAAAACAGCCTAGCAAATTTATCATTTCTACTTTTTCCCTTAGGACAGTAATGTAAACTCCATCCTAACACAGTGCTTACAGAAACTTACTAATGCATAAAAATTTTCCTCTAAGCTGAGGTTTGCTTTAGTTACAGCTGTTTTTAAAATAGCAAAAAAGAGGTCTTTTTATTTGACTAAAATATTAGGCAAACATTAGATAATTTTAATTACTGAAAATTCACCCATTCCTTCATTTCTCAAATATCTAATGAGTACACAAGATGTATACTCAAATGAATAAACTGTAAGAGCTTCTGAAAGAATGAATTTTATGCCCCACCATTTTTATTCTTATAATCTGATGCTGCTTGATATATGAACATTATTCAATCAAAAGAATAAGGACTTCAATCTTATAAGACTAGAGAGAAATTCTAGGTTTTGCTATTCATAAAATGCATAATGATCTTGAGTAAGCCACTTAATCTCTCTTTATCTAACCTTTCTTTGTTTGTAAAATGGGAATATGCCCTATATAAAGGGGATTTATATGGACTCTCTGAGGCTGTAGATCACAGCAATTAAAATCACAGACCCTAGGGACAGATTTCTAGGGTTTTGATCATGGTTCAGCCAGTAACTAGCAATGTGACTTTCGGTAAATTATGTCATCAATTTATGGCTTAGTTTCCTCTTTTGTAAATTGGAGGTAACAGCATTGCCTATCTCACAGTATTGTTACAAGGATTAAATGAGTTGTTATTTATAAAATGTTTAGAACAGTGCTAGCTATTATTTATTATAATTATTATTATATAAGTGAAAAGTGTTTCAGACACTCAAAAGTGATACAAAATCTCTGATTGTTTATTATTTCTATTTTTATGGCTATTACCTTGAATTTCATGGTAATCCAAACTGATTTTCTTTAAATAAGATACCGCAGTTAAATCAAACGTTCTCATTGTAGCCTCTGTTCCTAACTGAGTAACATTAAACACTAGAATTGTATCTTCTTCTTTCTGTTGTTTGGTAAATTCCAAAATCACCTGAAAGAATCAGGACAGCCAGTGAATGGTTGATAAGTATTTTAAAGCATACTTAAAATGGAAACACAATTTCTTTTTCATACATATCCACTACGGGAACAGTAAAAATTATGCTCATACTCCTCTATTACCATCTAGTGATTTACTAAGACTGGAAATTATCATCTTAAATTCTATTACTGAGAATATAACTATCTAAAAATCTTGACGAAATTTTACATCCATTATTCACTTACTTTTTTAAATTCAGTAAAAATAATAATATATGGATTCTTCCTTAATATGATTTTCTAAAACTGTATCTCAAAACAAAAGTCATATCTGGTGATACAAGACGCATATCCATTAAAGTAAAAAAGTAAGACAAGGATGTTCACTATTACACTACTATTCAATTATTGTGGAAACGATAGTATATTTAGGCAATGAAAAATAAACCATATACGTGGCAATTTTCAAAACATGCAAGTTCTCTGATCTCCATCAAGAGATGGCAGTCTCTGCCTGTCCCCCTTAGAATTTTGGCAGGGATGTGACTGCTTCAATCAGCAGAGTACAGAGGAACTGATACTATAATGATTTCCAAAGTCAAAAAAGGACATGAAACTTCCACCTAGGATTTCTCATTCTGGAGGAAACTAGTTGCCATGTGAAAAGTTCAACTACCCGGAAGCTGCCATGCTCAGGAGGCCGTGAGTAGGCAGGCATTTTGTTCAACAGTCCCAGCTGAGCTCCCAGCCAACAGCCAGTATCAACCACCAGCTTCGTAACTGAGCCACCTGTGGGGCCTTCTGAGGGTTCGCGTCCCTGCCGCTTCAGTCAGTTCTGACTGAACGCACATGAAAGACTATGCGCAAAAATTACAAAGCTGGGCCCTTCCAGAATCCCTAACCCACAAACCTGTTAGCAAAATAAAATAGTTACTTTGAGCTACTACATTTTGGAAAAACCTATGAGGCAGCCATAGTAACTGGAATAATGTAAATGCTGAAAAAAAGCAACGATTAATATTACTAGCAGTGATATAGTTACTTACTTAAGAAAAACCAGGAGTATCAATGGAAAAAAAGAAACAATAAGACACTACAGTAAGATAGTTGGTACAGAACTGATACACAAAATTAAATTTCAAATAAATCAATGATTTAAATGAAAGCACTGAAATCATAAAATAAGTAAAATCATGGATAAGTATTTTTACAATGGAGGATAATCTTCTAAATATACACTAAAACTAGCATATAAAGAAAAAATTAGATATATTTCACTACAGAAATATGTAAGACTTTGGAATGGCAAAAAAGGCAAATTGGGAAAAATATTTCAAACAGCACTATGATTTTTCTCTTAGATGACTTTGATTATGTATCACTTCAGTTCATTCATTCAATATTCAATAAAATATTTATTGAGCATCATCTTCCATGTATGAAGAATGCCAGCCACTGAGGACATCAAAATGACCAGGACAGACAAGGTCCATATCCGGATGAAGCTTACATTCTAGTGAGGGCAGGAGAAAGCAAAAGTTGCCATCCTGTGTTGGGTGATCAGGCCTTGCCAGTAAGATGACATTTCCAAAGGAATTAAAGAATCAAGTCATGCAGGAAAAGAGCTTTCCAGACACAGGAAACAGCCAGCACAAAGAATGTGCTTTGGGTATATAAGGAAGAACAAAAGACAAGCGTAAGCTCCATTGGACTAGAACTTGGCTCACTGCTGTAGCTCTAGGATCTAAAATAATGCCTGGTACATGATGACGCTTGATACGTTTATCGGAGGAATGAATGAAATATGGCTGGAGCAGAATGAGTAAGGCAGAAGGGAACTGAAGATGAAGCCACAGAGTCATCTGGTGTGACCTGGAGGTCTTGTAAGGCCTTGCAGGCCATGGGAAGGACTTAGCCCTTTACTGAGAGCAAGTTGGGAAGACCGCGTAGGTCTATGAGCCAAGCAATGACGTCATCTGACTTTCCCTTTAAAAGGATCACTCTAGCTATCATGTGAAGTACCTGATGGAAGCAGAGAGAGACAGTTAAGAGGCTACTGCATTAGTTCAAGCAAGAGATGATGGTGACTTTGACAGTGCAGTAGCAGTGAAAGGAGAGAGTAATCATCTGAATATATTCTGAAGTTAAAGTCCAGGGGTTTTCTGACATGTTACATGTGAGTATGAGAGAGAGAGAAATCAAAGAAGGCTAAAGGTGGAGAAAGTATCTTTTTTTTTAAACAAATACAAGTAATACTTAGATTTGCATACACAAATACAATCTGGTATTTCTGACATTATATTTTAGGACATGATGTCACATTGGGATATAAAACAGTCAACAAGAAATATCTCCTCTTTAAACCTTTTGTGTTTTATTTCAAAGTAATGCATATTCATTTAAAATGTTGCTGAATACACAGAAAAGCAAACAGGCCAAAATGAAAAACTACAACCCCACCACACAGAGATAAACACTGTCATTTATAAAAGAAAAACAAAGTGTGCGTGTGTATTTAATTTCTAAATGGAATCATAATGTCCTTGGAAATATTTTTCCAAATAAAGACATACTGTGAGCATCTCTCCATGTCAATGTTTTCTGTTACTATCACATGACTTCTAATGGCAGAAAAGCACATGCTGCAAATTTAGGTTGCTTACACTTTCCCAAATTATAAACAAGACAATAAACACTATTTAGCTTAAAAGTTAAAAAAAATTAAAATAAACATGTCACAGAAATTTTCTATAGAAAAGAAAGTCCTAATTAAGAGTCTCAAGCTTTTTGAGAATAGATTAGCTATACTATAGGTCACACTTATGTCAGTTTTTACAAAATAACATTTCAGTTTCTTAGAACTGTGTGTGCGTGCGTGGATGTGGTGGGGGAGGCAGCAGGGAAGACAGAGTTTTAAGTATACTTAATGTCTGGGTCTACCATGAGATAGTTTATAAGGAAAGCAGTAACAAAAACATATCTATTTATGGACAAAATAAATATAAATACCTCTTTAATTTCAAACTTTAGTAGAAGATTAATGAGCTCCTCATTTGGGGCCTCGGCAACTTTTTTCAGCTCTGACCCTTTCATACTTATACTAGTCTGTGTGTCTCCTCCATCCTCAGCATCAAAATACTCATCATCAGACTCTAAAGGAAGAACATATTTGACTTAAGAGAATGCTCACTGAAAACTGCATAAAACACTCAAATCTCTCAAAAGTAAAATTCATTTGTTAGACATAACCTTTCTGTTCGGAATCAGAATATAGCCTCTTTCTAAGTCCCACAAAGTGACTCAATCTGGCATGTAATAATCATATATAAAATCAAACTGCCCTTCTACTTTTTCCTTCAATACTTCTGATAGTTTTCATTGAGTTTATTCATTCAATTTTCAATAAAACACTTATTGGGTACCATCTATCACATATCGGTCTGCACCAGCCACTAAGGACACCATAATAACCAGGACAGACATTATCCTCCTCCTCATGAAGTTTATATTCTAGTTCAAAGTCAAAAAAAGATCAGTTAGACCAGAGATAGGAAAAACAATCAGGTACAGATCCAGGCGAAAAAAAGAAAAAAGTTTATTTATTATCTTAAATACTGTCAACCACAAAAATACTTTCACTCAAATGAAGAAACCTGGCCTTAAATAAAAATAAATGACTCAAAAGTCACACTATTGGTTAGCAGCCCATCTAGAACTAAAACCAACAAATTACTATCACACTTTCAAAATTCCTTTATTTTCTGAAAATTTTATCTCTACAGACTAATTTAGAGGTTTGGTTTAATACAGAACATTTTACTTTCCTTACCTGATTCCACTCCGTCTAGCAACAATGGCGTACCAAGCAGGTCTTTTGTCCTAGCTGATATAACAGGAATTGAGGACACCTAGTAAGTAATACAAAAAGTTTTGTAAACATACTAATTTAGCGTGATTAAATGTACATAAATGAGAGAAATACTGAAAAAGTAACAGGACAGAGATGGAGAGACACATACACAGCACGCAAATCTTCCAACAAAGCACATTATGCCATCAACTAACGAATGACTGGCTGGAGTGTACTAATCATTAGGACGACCATCTGCGTTCGCAAGGGCAGAAGCACGTACAACTCGAGTAGGTAAGACTACTTATCACTGTGTGTCATTCAGGGTCTATCCCAACATTAACTGTGTATCTGCTTGACAGGTTCCTAGAAAATGGTATCAGCGTTTGTAGGCTCTCTCAACTTTCATTTCAATTCTAATTAGACTGATCTAGAACTTTAAGTCTAACATACAAGAAAATTTTATAACAATCATTTTCTTTTGCAACATTTTAAAAAAGATTTCAATACCTAGCTTCATTTAAAACACATTTCATAAATTTGAAAAATTTGCCTTACATTTATGTATTTTCATTTCTTTTGTTCCCTAAAATAGACTTTCTACCACCAATCTAAACATTAGGGACAAAAGGCTACAATCTTTGTTTATTCAGTGCCATATGCAGTTCTGAACAGAATCAACCACAGTAAACCCCAAAAATGAAACTGGCCCTAAACAGTATTAAAAAACAAAACAGCTCACAAAAAGATGAAAAAAAAAAAAACCTCCCCATATATACATATGTAAAGATTTTCAGCATTTTATTATATCCATTTACCTGTTTCTCTGGAGACTGTGCAGGTGATTTCTGTGGCAAGGGTATACTATTAATCAAACACAGCACATCTTTCATCTTCTGGTCAGAAATCCTCACGTGCATCAGAGGAAGCCCTCCTGATACTTTAAATCTAAAAACATAATTCACCTGTAAGATTTTAAGGTCCAGTTTCTTTAAATTACAGAGCAGGAAAGCGAATGGAGAAGAGACTACACTGTGGAGACAAAGTTACTTTGGACATGTTTTAAACCAATTACATCAATGGGAAGTTCTACATAAGCCAAGTTTTGTATTCTTCTTTTTTTTTTTTAATTCTTTTTTTTAAGGTTTTTTGTTTGTTTTCTGGTGGGGAGAGGTAACTGGGTTTCTTTCTTTCTTATTTTTAGAGGAAGTACAGAAGATTGAAACTGGGACCTCGTTTTGAATTCTTCTTAAGCAGTCAAATCTTAAGTTATTTAATTTTTAGAAAGATATTTTCAAACACAAACTATGTTTTAAAATCAAAATTGCTATACATACTTTATTTCCTGGTGTCAAAGACTCCCCGTTATAAACATGAAAGAGTATCCACGCCATCACTCATCCCCTCACCTTCTTTCATTGCCTGTTACAGCATTTGACAGTACCTAATACAGCATACGTATACTTGCTCATTTTACGTCTCCTCTGGTTAAAATATAAGCTCCTTGAGGAGGACATCTGTTTTACTGACTGCTGTGCTTTCATCAGATGCTTACTTTTCAGCATCTGCTTCCCTATTCCACTTAACTACCTGGGTTTGCTTGTCTCAATAACTTTATGGTAGCTATTTGCTGCCCATAAAGCTCCTTCAGGTTGTTTATCTCTGACTTCCTAACTAAACTATGAACAGAACAGATCAAGCTGACAGATGCCTAACCACTAAACAAAGAATGATGTTTCTGTATGACGCACAACCCACTAACGTTCAAAAGAGGACGGCTGGCTGTTCCTACCTCAAAAGAATGAACTTTCTGCAAAAGTACTGTGTAAATTGAAAATCATCATAAAAATGTAAGATGCTTCTTTATTGTTTCTGAAACATTACACAAAATTAAAAGCATCCCCAACAGAGGCACTGGATAAACCCTCCTACTCAAAATAACTTAAAAACTGGACAAAATATGTGAAACAGCTTTCTCAAAGACACTGGACATCAGTTAACAAAGGAAAGTAGAAAGATGGGAAACAAATGATTGAAGTCCTACAAACACCCAGCTTACTGATTGAAGAGTTTCAAAATGCATAGGGCACAAGAAAGCAGCATTTCAAGGGAAATTTACAGCACTGAATGTCTAAATTAGAAAAGAAGGAAGGTCTCAAATCAATAGTCTCATCTTCCACTTTAAGAAACTAACAAAGTAAAGCAAATGAAACCCAAAGTAAGCAAAACAAAAAAGCAATAATATATGTGAGAGTAGAAATTGGCAAAATAAAAAACAGAAATAGAGAAAATAATTGAACCCAAAAGCTTATTCTTTCAGAAGATCAGCAAAATTGATAAACCTCTAGCCAGACTGATCAGCAAAAAAAAAGAAAGAGAGAGAAAAGGCACAAGTTACTAGTATCAGGAGTGAGAAACAGCGTAACTATAAATTCTACATGTATTAAAAAGGTCAGATGGAAGCACTGCGAACACTTTAATGACAATAAATTCAACAACTAATATATGACAGACAAACTTCTTTGCACAGCAAACTACCAAAGATCACTCAAAAACAAAAACAGTAAGTAATCTGAACAGCCCTATTATCTATTAAAGAAACTGAATTTGAGTTACAGGAATTTCATTTACAGTTAAAAACCCTCCCCTAAAAAGAAGACTCCAGGCCCAGATGGCTTCACTGGTGAATTCTACCAAATACATAAAGAAGAAAAAGAAAGAAGTCTATACATCTTCCTTTCAAGAAGCCTGTATTACCCTGACACACTGATGCCAAAAAAAGAAAATATAAGCACAGATCAATAAGCCTCATAAACAGAGATGTAAGTTTTTAAAACTTCATAACAAAATTTAAGTAAACCAAATCCAATATTTTAAAAGAAAAATTCATTATTACCAAATGAGGTTTATCTAATAATGTATGGTAGGTTTAACATCCCACTGGAAGAGTATCACGAACTACTGATACACACAACACAAATGAATCTCCAATTAATTATGCTGAATGAAAGTAGCCAAACCAAAAAAAAAAAAGTTGAAACTATGATTTTATTTGTATAAAATTCCAGAAAATTCTAACAAACTCATAGTGTCAGAAAGCAGATCAATGTTGCCTGGAGATTGAGGGGAGAGGAATCAGCAGGCAGAGGTAGGTACGAGGGACTACACAGGGGCACAGGAACCCTTGGGGATGGAGATGTGTTCATTATCTTGACTGTAGTGGTGGTTGCAGAGATAAACACTTATGTCAACTCTTACCAAAATGTACACTTAAAACAGCTGTAGCTTACTGAATGCCAGTAATACTTCAATAAGGCTGTTTTTAAGAAGACAGCATAAATATTTTGTAACAATCTACTTAAATTCAAAACTCATATTTTCTGTTTTCCATTCCTTAGATTATTCTCAAGTTTATATGGTTTCATAATCAAAAGAGCTTCTAATTTTTGAAGATTTTATTTTTCAATACTAAACCTTGAATGTGATGCATTCAAAAAGAGGGATAACCAACTTTTACAGGACGTAAAAGACCAAATACTTCTGAAATAAGAGAGGCAATATAAATTCAAGTAAACATTTTCTTAAAAATGTATTTCTGCTATAAGATAATCATTATTTTTGTGTGTCCAGAAATCAAGCTTTGCTTTCTTAAAACTGAGTAACTGATGCAGATGTATTTCACCTTGTTGACTTTAGAATATAAAGGAAACTCATACATTACTTGGCCATTCTAATGTCCTTTTCCACCATTGCCTTGGCCAGCTCAACATGTATATCCATGGGCTGCAATATATGCATAGTTGATGGATGCTGAAATCGACACTTTTTCCAGTCTTCCCCTTAAAAAATAATTTAAAAAATTAAACAACCAGTTTTTATTTATCAAATAATTATTTTTAGATTATCAAATGTTCTATAGAAAACTATTCTATATTAGAAAACAACTAACAAATATATTCAATGTATACTGACTTTTACTTATTTCAACATACAAGCTAAATGACCTATATTTTTTAATATACACTGACAAAAGTCAAAGACTATGAAATAAAAATAACCCTAAATATTTATTTGGAGGACTTCCTTTGTAAGATCTTACATTTTAAAGCAAACAAGAAAATACCCAGGAATTCATTTCCTTGATTCCAGACTGAGAGATGAAGGTGGGTTGCTACAGTGAAAAAAGGAAAAAAATACAGGGGAAAAAAAAGAAAAAGAAGAAAAAAAGAGGTTTCTGGGGTTTCTAAGAGCGATAATTCTACAGCAAAAATGAGTTTTATCAAGCAAGATATTTTTGACAAAAAGTAGAATAGTCACTTTTCTTCAAAAAAAAAAAGGTTCCAAAAATAGACTTCCAATGACTAACGGAATCCTACACAGACCCTAACTGATGGCAGTGACTAAAGCTCTTTTACTACTTACAACTCGAACAATTATTATTCAGTACATACAAAAGAAAAAGCAGCTTTAATGGTCTGTGTAAGTACCTCTCTTCAAGGAATTAATAGGCTCCTAATTTATAAAACCAGGTAAAGTATTATATATTTCCATTTTAATAAATCTCATCACTCTCATTATAGTATACACTCTGCACACAGAAACTATGTCCTTTTCTCCAATCATCTACCAGAGAATGATACAGTCAAGGATATTCTGCAAGTCTTATTGACTCTAGAAACTAAAGCAGTATGGAGAACCAGCAATCTTTATTTAACCATTCAAAACACCAAAGCTTTTGGAAAACGATTAAATTCACTACCTCTACGGTTTTAGGACTATATCCAATACGTTTCAGGTATCTACAAAAGTAGAAGACGTAATATTACTCAAAGACTAGGCTAACAGTGAAACATTTAAAAATAAAAGCCACAAGGGAAAACAACACTGAGACAACCAAACTCACTGGGACAGAGGAACATGAGCCGACTGCAACTTCTGTCTTGTGTTCTGGGCAATTTTACATCACACTAAAACATTTAGGCAGTGACTGCACCTAGATTCAAATGGTGCTAAGTACCCTAAGATGAATAGCCAAATTTTTATCTCTACTTTTAACTATGACAAAGATTTTCAGTGATCGGCTCCTGTTTGGTTTTCTTTTCTTTTTTTTTTTAACTGAAGTACAGTCAGTTACAATGTGCACAGCACATTTCTGGTGTACAGCACAATGTCCCCAGTCACACATATACATACATATATTTGTTTTC